TGCGACTACTACGACTACGACGACGACTACTACTACGACTACTACCAATAGTACCACTACTACCACTTCTACTTTTTACTGCTGCGGCTGCTGCCGCCACTACTACTACTACTACTACTACTACTACTACTACTAGTACTACTACTATTGCTTCTACGGCTACGATTACCTTTATCCAGAACCTTGGTAAGTACTGCGACGACCTGGAAGCCCGCTAGAGTCCGAGCCTTTGGAAACATGGTATTCCTCTTTAGAGGCTTCTACCTCTTCGAGGTTATGTGACAGTTTAGACGGGCCTCATGATGAGGGAGCTGAGATCCTCGACCTCAGAATCTGAATCACGGTCTTCCAGTAGGTTTATCATGTCTGCAGTACTTCACTTTGCCGAAAGTAGCGCAATTTACACTGTGACTAGTACTGCTGTCCAAGTCTGTTTTCGTTCCTGAGTATTCCAGTACAACTATCAAGTCTATGGTGGTTACGTCAGCAGCTCATTCGCACTCCTAGTAGCATGACCATGTTCCACAGTCGCGGTACAGCTTGTCTTATTTCATGGTTTAGTCCAGACAGTGGGGGTTATCGCCCCATCTTATCACACACATACGTGGGATGTATGGCGAGTTTCACACCAGCTGGGGAGCGTTGCTGGCTACATGCCTTTGATTATCTAGAAATTTCATGATTCATCTGTCACTTCCTGAGTTTCATGAAGCTTGCAGGCTCGAATCAGGGTGTTGACGCTGTTGACGGTGGTGGGTTCTCTGTGAAATTCAAAAGTCCTGTATTTAGAAGAAGGTTTGAATCTTAACTCGGTCTGCAGAGAAAGGACCCTATTATTTACAGGGCCTGAGGTGGGGTGGGGGTCTTATATGCCAGGGAAAGACCTCGGGAATTTTCTGAGTCTAGTGTACGTAGCGTGTGTTTTGAGGCGAAGGAAAGAACACCCTCTCCACAGGAATCTTGAACCTCCGAGCCCACAGGAGGCAGTCTGATGCTTACTTGGAGAAGGGACTGTTTCTATTTGCTTCTGTCCGAGGCGGGTTTAAGACACCTTGGCTGGAGGGTGTTGCACGAGCCTTGACATTCTCTTCCCCTAATATTACATGTCTTGTACACCCCAGGCCTTACAAGTGTAAAGATTCTTTGAAGTCCAGCTTCGCTTTCCGAATTTCATCGGAAGCTTTTGATACTTCACTCGTCTTCTTGTCGAACACGGCAGGACTTTTCACCTGCTAAGAGAGGAGGCGCCGCAGAGAAACAAACAAGCCATATGGAGTCCTTCGGCCCCGCATAAATCGTGTGAACCCTTAGAGGGGTAATCAGGAGGAGCATAGGAGGCCTTAATTCCCCTTCTGGAAGTTCCTTCTGAATAAGACACCACGTCTTGATGCCTGCCCCCTCCAGAGTTTTGGTTCACTTCCTGAGCTTGCTGTTTCGTGGCCGCCTAGTACCGATCAGCGTGTATGGTAAGGTTCCTTCAAGCACGCCACACTATAGTTACACAGTAGCACCTGGTCGTTTCGTCGGGTTCCTCGCAGCTCGGTCCAACCTAGATCAGTTTAGTCGAGTGCCTTGTTTTCATCATCGTTTCTGTGCTGATTGCTGCTGTTTGTCCAAATCCTCCTTCATCATTCTCAGTACCACTAGCCTTCGCATTGATGCTGTCAAGATCGCTGTTACAATCATGATCGATACCACAATCATCTCCGGTCTTTGTCGTAGGATCTGTCGTGATCTTCGCAGCAGAACCTGTATATTTCGTAGTATCTGCAGAGCGCTCGTGAGAATGTTGTTGTTAGTGTCAGTATTCCGTGAGTTTACAAGTGGTCGCGGTTGTTGTGGGAGTTATGGCATGTTTGTTGCAACAAGATGTGTTCATCTTTATGGCCTAAAGCATAACTGTAGAACTTATAGAAAAACCCTGCACATCTCAACAAGTTTGAAACCTATTATAGGGGTCTGAGGAATGAGGATTTAGCAGTGAGTAGAAATGTTCCCCTGGAGCCTGTATCTACCTGTGATATAATATACTATAATATACCACGACCTCGTTCTAATCCTTCAACTCCTACACAATCCAAACTCTGATCGTTAACATGCCCTATTCTACTCACGCAGGCTTCTATGGACCTTATTCTACCCGAAACCACAAACCTGTGCATCAGGCTGGCTCGCGCCTTGCCGGCCGGGGCACACGACCGCAAAAAGTAAAACGAAGGGTGTCCTCAGGCTTTCGACGAAAATGGCTATGATAAGGGCTACCAGGTTAAGAGCTGATAAGCGTTGCCATGGTAAGAGTTGCCATGATATGGGTCGCGATGTTGAGAGTATGGTAAGGGTTACTATGATAAGGGTTATATGTCGTGATACGGGCTACTGATATTACTATGTAATTATCATGATAATGGATACTGCTGTGGCACGGGTTACTATGCTACGGAGTTACTATCACCATCTTGCGGAATGTTCCGACATCGGTCCCTGGAAGAAGCCCAGCGGCGTTGTGCCCTCAGCGTGCCTGACTGTTGGCACGTCTAAAATATAGGAGTTCGAATACTTGCAAACATTGTTCCACTACAGTCCAGACTTTGATTGTTGCATGAAATACCCCATAACCCTACTTTGAGCATTCAGGGCCTTGGCTGCATTTCACATATATAATCATATATATATATATATACATGACCCTGAAGTGGAGGGGTGAAATGTCGATTTATCTCCGGGGATGACAACTGAGCATACACAATGAAGATCGACTTCGAGTTGAATTTTTCATGAGCAGTTGCACGCAGAAAGAACAGCACGGATAGTTTGTGACAGCACCCACCAACACTTGCAAGGTCAGAGGCTGACAACCAGTTGCAAGTTTCAGCAGGGATGGAGTGCATCCACAGTGCCAGTTCGATTATCAGTGGAGAAAAGGGGCGGACAAAGCAAACCAGGTGAGGAGTCAGGTTCACGGGAATAGCGACAAACTTGGGGTTTAGTACGCCTGGGACTTACGAGGACGTTAGCACTCCTGAATCGGCCACAACCCGGACTGCACACATACTATATGGCCTTTCAGGATCCAATGGCTCTTAAGGCAGATGGTTGCCTCCATCCTTTTGGTAGGAGGTGAACATTGGTTTCCTCCTTGAACTTGTCCTGGGTTCATGTGCCAATGCACCGCGCAGCTTGCGGCACAAGGAAACCCGCTTGCTGCAAGTAGACGTGCTACTGAATCGCGTAGTCCCGGCGATCCAAAATGACGATGCTCGTCAGAGATTCAGTGTTTTTTGAACGCAGAGCCAAAGCACCACACGAGCTGAAGTTCCGGCGCGTTTCTTCGCGTCCGACGACCACCCAGTACAGAAAATCTTAGTCGACGAGGCGGCGCTGTTTAGGCTTTGGGGCTTAGGGTTTAGGGTTTGGGGCTTACTGTCGGCCCAGATCCTGAAGCTCCAACTGATGCTCTGCTGCTCGATGAAGCCCTGAAACATGTACATCTACATGCAGCGGGGCCTAAAGCTTCGCTTGCGCCACCCTAGAGGGTAGCCCCATAACCCTAAACCCTCAGTCCTCAACCCAGAAACTCCACCGTCGGCTACCCAAAACAGAACCCCACTCGCAGTGCAGGGTTGAGGCTTTGGGGTTTAGGGTTGGGAGCAAGAGTCCCACAGCCGAGGAGCAAACAGGAAAAGCGAATCGACAATATAACTAAAACCACAGAAGCAAGTGAAGTTTCAAGAAACCTAAAGCAGCCCTGAGAGCCACACCACAAGCCCTAAACTCCAAAGGAAGTGGCTGTTGGCTTGGTGTGCCGTCCTTGGCCCAGCAGTTGCCGAGGATTTGGATGCAGCGTGCATGCTGCAGGCTGAGTAGTATGGAGGGTTCCTATGTTTTGGGGTCGAGTCTACCTTGCGCCCTTAACCCTAAAGTTAAACCCTAAGCCTAAAACCTTCCGGTTCTGGATTCCGGGTTTGGGTTTATGGGTCTAGGATTGGCACAGTATAGGCAGGGCTTAGAGTTCAGGTTGAGCGTTTAGGCGTTTCGGTTTCACGAGGTTTTCGCTGAAAGGAAGCTGAGGCCAGGGATCAGGATGCAACATGTCAGGTTGAGGCTTCAGATCTCGGTTTCAGGCTGGCAGGGATTCAGAAGCGTGGGTGCAGTTGAAGCTTGGGGTTCGGGTGAAGAATCAGAAGGTCTGGCAGCTGGCACACATTGAGAGATGGTTCCACTTCCACCACGCAGTGTCCGCTGTCTTCTGAGTGCGACATTGGATGTTTGCATTGGCCTTTCAATCGTGGTGTGTGTTCTACTGCATATTTCTATGCATGCTGATCATATCGCAAAGATGTTGAAGCGGGATTTGGAGACCGCAGTGCCCTGAGCCTGCAACGTTTCATACATACTGTAGTCCGGGCGAGCTCGCGAGGGCACAACGCATTTCAAACGACGAAGCGAAGAATTTGTGTGCAAGTTCCCACAGTTGTGCTCCTCCTCCTCCTTCTCATCATCATGTCCGTCGTCGTCATCATCATCATAGCCAACACCACTGTGTAGCACCATGGTCCTCCTGGTCACCATCACGCAATCTTGCTGAGTGGCTGAGTGTCTTGTCTCATGTCCTTTTCATCGGCATTCGTCGTCGTCACCATCATTATCGCCTGGCATGGTGATGTTGTCTTCACGACTCTTACCCAGTTCCTCCGAGACAATTGACGGCCTTACGATACTGACGAGAGTGGCCTGGTGCCTCGAAGCTCCGAAGTCATAGCTAGCTCCGCCAGCTCCTTCCGGTCAGGCACAGCGGAGCTCGACTGGAGTGGAGCTCAGCCCCCAGCAACTGCTCCAAGAAAAGGAAGACCTGGAAAGGTTTGATCGCCTGGCCCAGAAGCTCGAGGAGAATTATGACCATCTCGAGGAGAACACTGTTGCCGCAAAAGCCTTAACGGACGAGTTCAACAAGATCGCGAGCGAGGACACCGATGAGACTCAGCTGTTCTGCGAGTATGGCACCACCACGCTGGACTTCAAGACCTTCTCTCACGGAGACTCTGCTTTGCACATCGTGACTGGGTCTCGGGCTTGAGATTTTAGGGCCAGTTTGGGCTTCTTGTCGATTTGAGCTTCTGGAGGGTTCGATTGGGTTTTCGAAGTGGGCTTAGAAATAGGATGTCATGTGGTTGCTGTGAGCAAGGATTTATATAGAATATAGAGGCCAAATCACCTTATAACGGGGGTCCTCGGGCCCTGGAATCATTTTGGGAGGAGAAGGAAGCAGATCCTGCACCTTTGAACTGCAGCCCCAAGGATGAAGCACGTGAAGAGCCTACTTTCTGAGAGCACTGGTCAAATCAAGACCCCCTTTACACTCATCATGCTTGTACTTGTATTCCACAAAAGACCTGCTCGAATTTTGCAGGCCCAATCCCACTGTTACTTCCAGCCGGCTGAAAGGAGAGGTGATCACGAGGAACAGTGTTCCTGGAGTGGAAATCACGGCACAACGGCGAGCGACTTCCCGCAATGCTTGCACGGACCGCCCGGGTTTAGGAATGGGGCTCGTTGGCATGTCCTTTTTTCCGGGTGTCATTTTTGCAGGAGGTTTTGAGTATGACATCGAGGTGTAAAGTATGTCTGGATCAGGGCTGAGCCTTGAACCTGTGGTGTACGGTAGGTGCTGACAGAGACTCGACCGCGCCACGAGAGACTTCCGTCCGTCGCTAGTCTGGACCAACGTCCCCTTCTTGTCCTTCCGATGATCAGGGGGTCCTTTTCTGCGTGGCAACGATCCCGTCATGTAGTTCGTGGCATCCCGGTTTGCGGAAGCCAGGCAGTGCCACGCTGCTTCTCCTGTAAGCCCTGCAGGGCCCCTTGATGATCCTGAACAACCGGGAAGGTGGAGCGACGAACGATGGCGAGACTCGCCGGCAGTGCAAGAAATGCTTCAATGAACCCTAAGCCATAAACTCACAAACCCTTAGCCTATAACCCCTAAACCCCCTAAACCCTGCCTTCTCATGGGAAAGGGAAGAACATCTCGTGGATCTAGTGCTGGCACTTTCCCTCCCATCGGCCTTTGAGGCTCTCCCCCGTGGCTTTAGACGCCTCAGCTCGCGGTGGCACCAGGGTTAGAGCTATGGTATGAAATCCTGTGACACGGCGACTCAAACTGTAGAGGAAGACTGTAAATCCTCAGCCTGTGCTTTACTCTATGGCACCCTAAAGCCGAGCAATGAAGCCCGAAACCGCAGCCTCCAGAGACTCTTGGCAAGGATCTGAAGACATGCACGAACTGCGCGCTGCTGGTGTACTCTGAGGCCCCGGACAAAAGCAGCGTCTGTACAAGAGATAGGATTCGAGGAGTTTGCCCTGGGTTTGGGGCCTAGGGCTCACATTAGCGTTGCGATGGAGGGTTAAAGTTAGATAAGTTTTGGCCCGCGGCTCGTAGTTCATACACCAGAAGCCGAGCAGCTCATGCTTTCGGGTTTGGCTTCGGGGGCAGGTTTTAGGGTTTATGGTAGTGGCCCAAGTGGGTCTTATCGAAATCTTTGTTTTTTTTCAGGGCGCTGCAACGACGGATCCCCTAAACCCTCCAAGTAACCAAGAAAAAAAGGCAGAAGGGCGCCTGGCCCCTAAGCCCTCAACCCCAAACCCTCAGCCCCAAGGTCCCTGGAGCCGAAACGGGAGCCCAAGCTACTGTAGGGGTTTTGAAGATGCTTGCCTCGTAGAACGGCGGCTCTTTGGCGAAGCATAGGCTTCAAAGGTTTAGGGTTTAGGGTTGAGCAGCTCCGGACGAGAGGAAATTATGAACACATTGCTATTTGCTTCCGTACCGTGTTCGAAAACCATTCCCCTGTCTTGTGCCAAGTGATCAACAGTAAACAGTATCAACATCGCAAGCCAACGTCGCTATTCTAGCATTTGGGTAGTTCTCCAAATTAGGGTCGTTTTGCAGGACCCCAAACGATACGGCACCCTTATCAAAAGGACCCTAAAAGGGACACTAATTTAGAGAACTACCCATTTAAGGAACCGATCTGTTACGGCATCCTTGGTGTCAGTTACCGAGCCGATGTGTTGCGGTACTCGTATCCTGTGGGGCATTCAAGGAGCCGATCAGAAACAGCATCCTGGGTGTTTATTTGAGGAGCCGATCTGCTATTTACAGCATCCCGTGGGTCATGGTCTTTCTGGGTTTAGGGACTAGTCATAAGGTTCTGTGGGCCTGAGGGACCTATCTGCCGGGACGCCATGCACAGCAACACTGAGCAGTGGATAGGCTCAGGGTGGCTGTGCTTGGTGTCCCGGCAGGTAGGTCCTGCTGCTGCTGCTGCTCATTGCTCACTCATGCTAATGTAATAATGCTCGCCACGACGAAGCCGATCATCGTTTAGGGCAGCAGGCTGCAAACATCCACCAATGTCACTATAGCCTTGGCATATACAGGTGAAGTACATGTTCAAGGTTCAGGCTTAGGGTTTGGGGTTTGAAAAAGCTTGAAAAAGGACTCGTCTCAAGGTTGTGCGGTGCGGGGCCGAGAAACTTACATCATAGCCGTGGTGAGTGGGACCTCGAACCTAGTATACAATAAGCCTAAACCCTAGAAGCACACCGCCTCTGAAGCTTTGTCATGTAAGCTGCTGTCAATAAGTACCAAAGCTGTTGTCTTGGGGCTCCTAATTACGACTATACTACAGTATAGGAGCTAATGTACCCCTGCATCATAAAATGCCCTTTAAGTTAACAAAAACACTAGGGTTGGGCAATGGTTGGGGATGTCACTGGCAGGATGGGGACACAACGACAGTGGATGACTGTGCCGAGAGACCGGGGCCCAAGTTCATCTTTGACTGGGACGCTGCAACTTGGCAGGGCTTTGAGGGCCGTTTAGGGTTGAGGGCTTTGAGGTAAGGGGCTTCAGGGTTGAGCAGTTTGGGGTTGAGGGTACATGTTTAGGGTTTGGAAGTTTGGGGTTGGTATGTGGTGCTTCTATATTGTAGTAGCGTGCGACTATGACTATATCTGAGATTGTGATGAATGGTTGGGGGTTTTGGTTGAGGGGTTTACAGGGCTTGGCAACTCAATCGGTGCAGGGATCCTCGGAGTATGACACGGGGATGAGCGCATGCTCACGAACTGCGATTCGCCTGGGTGAAGCCTACGTTGAGGTTTAGGGCTCAGGGCTTAGAGTATCTAGATGTTCGTGCTTAAGCCAGCCGCACAGCTGAAGCCATAGTGCGAATGCAGTCGCTGCAGCTTGGAAAAGTTATTCACGTCTGAGGGCAGGTTAGTTTAGGTTTTTTTCGGCCGTGTCCTGAGGTGAAGGACATCAAGAACATCCTTCTGCCCTTTGGCCTTTGCTTTTCTATTGGGCCCCAAATCCGAAAACCCAAAGCCTTACTACGAGCCCAAGGTCCCAAAACCCGAAGCTACAAGGCCCAAAACCTTAGCCTCTAAAGCCCTAAAGAAACACCTAAACCGATAACACCGAAAAGCAAAAAACGCAACAACAACTGTAGAACGGCCAGAGCTGTGAGCAGCTAAGCAGTAGTCCCTCACTACACGGGGCCTGGGGTTCGTATACTATACATAGAGTTACAATATAACTCCTCAAAATGTAAGAATAGGAGCTCAGGCATACTATCAGTCCTTGCATGTAGGCTCTCAGGACTGACTTCTTCGTGGCATGCTTGGGTGTTGCTCTTTTTCCTTCTTTGACAGACCATGGTGAAACCAAAACGTGTTGACCCTGCCTAGACTCAAAACCCAACACCCTCGAGGCAGCTTGTTTCAACAAGCCCTCTGTCTTTGTTACTTCGGAAGGTATTGTAAGTGTTTCTCGGTGTACACTCAGCACCAAGAAATGCAGAGAACAAGGCCACATTGTCCGAAAGAGCCAGGTGGGACCAAGATGATGGCAATCAGAACACCAAGATCCAGCTCTTCAATGAGAATGATGCGCTATACTCAGGGCCTTAGGGCATATGGCCTATGGTTTGCTTTCAAAACTTACGGCTGAAGGTTTTTGCCTGAGGCGCTCACCGTGCAACCTCTGTCGCCGATAGCAAGGGTCAACGAAGGAGAGCGCGTGCGCGATTACCTTGAAAAGGGGTGGACCTCGAAAGCACCCTCAAGCCCTGGCGATTGCCCAGCCACCGAGGAACTGATCGCGGAAAAGGACGTAGATCAGAAGAGCGGCCTCAACGGCAAAGGCAATTCAACGGCATGCGAGTGGACAGCTGGGGTTCTGGGCTTGAAGCTCGCATATGTACACCGATCCCTTAAAACCCCGAAACCTGTTCTGACAGTCAAGGCTGTTCCTTCCCTCTATGCGAACCCGGGTCCGAGTCCGTAACAAACAAACCGTTAAGGATTCAATCTTTATAGGTTTAGGGTTTAGATTAAAAAGAACATGATATCCTCTGAAGTTTATAGGTTTACGGTTTAGATTAAGAACATGATATCCTCTGAAGCCCCAAATCCTACGGCAGTTTGGCTCTAAATGAGACAAAAGTCTCGGGAAAAGTCGGAGGTTCATATGTTTGTGTTTTGGGGTTAGGGCTTACCTAGACCCTAAAGAACCCACATTTTTAAGGACTTAGATAAGGAAATCATAATAAGGAACCCTAAAAAGGGAGGTTCTTTAGGGTCCAGGTAATATATGCTACAGATGCCAGGACTACTTTCAGATGATTGCGACAGGTTGGGGCCCATCGTCGACCAGTCTGCAATCGGTTTAGGGTTTAGGGTTTAGCGTTTAGGGTTTAGTCCCGGATCCGCATTGAGTGACTGGTGATACTAGTCAGGCAGCTATGAGGATGCTTGAAATTGTGCGGTTTAGGGTTTGGGGTTCCTAAACCCTAAACCGGGACTATTGTTTTTGCTTGGAGGCAGCACCGTGGACCTGCGAGTTCGTGGCGTGAAGCTTCTGGCTCGCAAGCAGTGTTTTCGGGTTTGTGGGTATCACAATATGATGATAGTTCTCTAAATTAGGGTCCCGTTTTAGGTCCCCCAAATAGTACGGCATCCTTACAAAAAGGACCCCAAAAGGGACCCTATTTTAGATAACTACCCATGAAAGGGACCCTAATTTAGATAACTACCCATATAAACAACAGATTCGTATCACCCACTTCTGTGAAGTTGGTGTAGGGATCACAGTTTTCTACATTGCTGGAAAGGCTTTGATTCATTTGTACTTGTTAGGACTGCAGGAGCACGGAACGTTCCAAATTCTGCAGTTTACAGACTGCCTGAAACGGTACGTAGCGTCACGGTAGCCAATGAGAACAAGATCCTTCTGCCCTGTAGTAGATTGTATTAGCTTATAGTAGATAGTATATTATAGTATTTTGTAGTATGTCATAGTAGATCATAAAATTTTAATGACTACCGGCGAGCGAACATCGTAACCCAATATGTTGTAAAATACGTGTAGGACATTGTCTATGAGCATTGATCTACAGGTCCGTGTCTGCGGATTTATGCAAAACGGACTTAAGATGTGCCTGCGAAACTTCCGCGATGGGTCCGCGAAAGGAAAACAAATTTCCGCGAAAGTTGTACGCAATAGACTCAGGGCATGTAGGACTTTGAAGAACATGCTATCCTTTCGCAGGCATGCAGGTTCAAGGCCCTTCACCGCACCATGTTTCACTAATTACACCGAAAGCCAAGGTTTGAGGCTGTGAATTTGAGGCAAGACTAAGAGGAAGCTGTCGACTCTGTGGCAGGGTAGGAGCAGGCCAAGCCAACCTGGCGAGCGCCTTGCCTAAGGCAACTACGTACAGTTGTATACGCGGTGTCAATGTGCGACTGTTTCAGCTTTTCGAAATCCTACTAGGTTTTCTGCGAAAGTCCCACGAAAGATCCGCGAAAGCCGCCGCAAAAGACGGCCGGGCTTTTATCCACAACAACAACCACAACTCCTACTTCCATTCCTCCTGCTCCTACTCTTATTCCTACTACTGCTACTGCTACTTCTGCCACTGAGACTGCTACGATGTCGCCGAGCATTACAAGCGCGATTGCGACAACACACAAGCATACTACTGCCACGACGTCTACGCCTTCTACGAGTACGAGTACTACTACTTTGCTACCACCACCACCACCACCACCACCACTGCTACTACTACTGCTGCTACTCGTACTAGTACTAGTACTAGTACTAGTACTAGCACTAGTACTAGTACTAGCCACCCCC